AAAAAAGATCGGTGTGGATGTTCATGTCAATTTGTTGAACTTTGCATGTGGATCCCATGATGTTGTGTTATCCAAAGGATAATTGTCTATGCCAAAAATACGCATTGTTCTCAATTGTTGGTGTCCAACTCCAAAGACTCCGCATCTAGCTTCAAACCTTGAAGCAAAACTTGGTCCAGAGAGCGATCCATTTGCATCCATCCTATCAGTCCATCCCTCAGACCTAGCCACTCCACCTGACTCCATCTCAGGGTTCAGTGGAGGGAACTTCAAAGCGTGGCGACCCCCAAGTTGACCTCGCAACGAGGTTCAAGCGGTACGAGATCGGTGTAGGTGGTGAATGCAGCATCTACGATCCTCCAGTGTCCTACTGGTGTGCTCAGCATCCGCAGGGCGGGGGCAGACCTGGGGCGGAAAGACCTGCAGGACTGATCTACAAATCACCCAATGGACCCTATGAGCACGGAGACTTGGCGGAGTGAAATGCAGAGATATGTTGTTTTTCTTAAGACCAGAGGAAGGTAGCTAGCAGTAGCTAGGTAGCTTAGTAGCTAGCTACAAGAACGCCAACCTATGACGCAGGATATCTGACACTTCTTCAAGGGAGCTCTCGCACTATTATATATTCATTTGGTTCATTTTGGTTCCTAGATTTTTAGGGAAATTTAGTGGTCATTCAGCACCCTGTTTTTTGGGTGTCGCATACCAACTATTAACTATATAGGTGATATTATATCGATTCTTCACTTGGGTCCCCATCGTGTTTCCGCACCCAAATGACCAGGTCTCAGAGACACTGGGCAAAATACTGGTCCACTTACACCACGGCTATGGTGTTGTGGTGACTCCAGGGTAATCCACGGCTATTTGCATCCATTAGAAACATTAGAGACCTATAATTAGCAGCTTTAGGTGTCATCCCTGCCAACGTTCCTTCGTTTCATCAAACAACTTTCCAAGATGCAACAGTGGGCAGGAATCAGGAAGATCGTTTTCTTCAAACTCTCGGAAATTCTTTGTTGGCTTCCCTGGTTCACCCAGGAGAGGATGCGCGCTTCTTTGTGTGGCGCCCCTCTCGCTGGTTCAATTGGATCTTTGATGTGGCGAAGTATGACCCAGTAGCCAACAACTTCACCTTCGGCCATGGAGGGCATCAAGGCGCCCGTGGTTATCCCCAAGGCACGGCTGTGTTTTTCAGCCGAAAAGTTGAGGATCTTGAGCTGTTGAGGTGTCGCTTTAAAAAATTAAAGGACCGGATAACCCCACATATGAATCTTTACGAATCTGAAGGTTTTAAAGCACAAAGCAGTCAGAGTCTCAATAGCTTCTACAACACGGCCTTGTCAGGAAGTGATATCAGCTTCCGACAACAGCGGGGTGGGAGAGAAGGTGTAAGAGAGTGATGTGCACGACAGATGTACGAGGTATTGTGCACACAGGTGTGCGCAGCCACAACTTGCCAATAACACCAGCAGTCGTCGCACGTCCGCAATATGGGGCATAATGTACTAAAGTTGTACTACCAAGTCGCCAGTTCTCATCTTCCCACTCCCCAGCTACTCCCCGTATTCAAGTTGTACTACCATGTCGCCAGTTCTCATCTTCCAGCTCCCCAGCTACTCCGCGTACTAGAGTTGTACTACAACGTCGCCAGTTCTCAGCTTCCAGCTCCCCAGCTACTCCACGTACTACAGTTGTACTACCACGTCGCCAGTTCTCAGCTTCCAGCTCCCCAGCTGCTCCGCGTACTAAAGTTGTACCACAAAGTCGCCAGTTCTCAGCTTCCAGCTCCCCAGCTACTCCGCGTACTACAGTTGTACTACCAAGTCGCCAGTTCTCATCTTCCAGCTCCCCAGCTACTCCGCGTACTAAAGTTGTACTACAAAGTCGCCAGTGCTCATCTTCCAGCTCCCCAGCTACTCCGCGTACTAAAGTTGTACTGCAAAGTCGCCAGTTCTCAGCTTCCAGCTCCACAGATTGCTCCGCGTACTAAAGTTGTACTAGAAACTCGCCAGTTCTCAGCTTCCAGCTCCACAGATTGCTCCGCGTACTAAAGTTGTACTAGAAAGTCGCCAGGTCTCAGCTTCCAGCTCCCCAGCTACTCTGCGTACGAAAGTGATACTACACAGTCGCCAGTGCTCAGCTTACAGCTCCACAGATTGCTCCGCGTACTCAAGTTGTACTAGAACGTCGCCACTTCTCAACTTCCAGCTCCCCAGCTACTCCGCGTACTACAGTTGTACTACCAAGTCGCCAGTTCTCATCTTCCAGCTCCCCAGCTACTCCGCGTACTAAAGTTGCACTACAAAGTCGCCAGTGCTCATCTTCCAGCTCCCCAGCTACTCCGCGTACTAAAGTTGTACTACAAAGTCGCCAGTTCTCAGCTTCCAGCTCCACAGATTGCTCCGCGTACTAAAGTTGTACTAGAAACTCGCCAGTTCTCAGCTTCCAGCTCCACAGCTACTCCGTGTCTAAAGTTGTACTACAAAGTCGCCAGTTCTCAGCTTCCAGCTCCACAGATTGCTCCGCGTACTAAAGTTGTACTAGAAACTCGCCAGTTCTCAGCTTCCAGCTCCACAGCTACTCCGCGTACTAGAGTTGTACTACAAAGTCGCCAGTTCTCAGCTTCCAGCTCCACAGATTGCTCCGCGTACTAAAGTTGTACTACAAAGTCGCCAGTTCTCAGCTTCCAGCTCTCCAGCTAATGCGCGTACTACAGTTTTACTACAAAGTCGCCAGTTCTCATCTTCCAGCTCCCCAGCTAGTCCGCGTACTAAAGTTGTACTACAAAGTCACCAGTTCTCATCTTCCAACTCGCCGACAACAGCCGACAACGCAACCGCCAGACCCTCTGACGGAGCCAGATCTATTGCAATTCCAAATGAGACAGCGCCGCAGCCGACCACAGCCGACAACAGCCGACAACACGACCACCAGACCCTCTAACGGAGACACATCTATTGCAATTCCCAATAAGACAGCGCCGCAGCCGACCACAGTCGACCACAACCGACCACAGCCGACAACAGCCGACAACGCAACCACCAGACCCTCTAACGGAGCGAGATCTATTGCAATTCCCAATAAGACAGCGTCGCAGCCGACCACAGCCGACCACGGCCGACCACAGCCGACAACAGCCGACAACGCAACCACCAGACCCTCTAATGGAGCCAGATCTGTTGCAATTCCCAATAAGACAGCGCCACAGCCGACCACAGCCGACCATAGCCGACCACAGCCGACCACAGCCGACAACAGCCGACAACGCAACCACCAGACCCTCTGACGGAGCGAGATCTATTGCAATTCCCACTGGGACAGCGTCGCAGCCGACCACAGCCGACAACAGCCGACAACGCAACCGCCAGACCCTCTAACGGAGCGAGATCTATTGCAATTCCCACTAGGACA